GACAAGCTCCTGAGAAGCATGACTTTTGCCAGGAAACACAAGAAAGGCCTGAAGGACATCAGGCAAGCAATGCCAAGGCCGTGAGCACACGTGTGGAGGCTATCAAGCCTGGGAAGCACGTCCATGCCTTCATTGCCAAGTCTAAGGCTCCACCAGCCCAAGACCAAGAGCAAGACTCAAAACAAGACCCAGATCCAGGCTGCAGCTCCAGCTCTGGCTCCAGCTCCTGAAGGTGCCCAGGTCCCAGGACCATCTGCCTGGGACTGGTGTCCTCCTGTGCCATTCGTACAAATAAACCTGAGCAGGAAAAAAAAAAAAAAAAAAAGACAATGATAAGAAAGAGTAGAAGGAATAAAATCAGGAGGTTTTTTTTTGTGGGACATGGGATATGAAACAGTTGACGCCCATCGTTTTTGGCTTGAATTACTAGACTGAGAAACAGGTCCCTGTGGTGCCTCCAAATGCAGATCCGACTTGAGATATACAGAACCTGAGCCTCAGGGACACACTCAAAGACACACTTCTACAGACGGTGAAATTTGTGTTTGTGGTGTAGGGGAAATGTTAGCATTTGTTTACAAGTCACATGTGTGAAAAGATGGTCATGGAGTTAACCAAACTCTGTAACGCAGCTCGGAGGTATGCAATAGTTTAGAATGACATTATATTTGGGAGTTTTCTATCGGGTTTGATTAACTAGTGGAATAAGCATGGGAAGGTGTCTAGAAAGACTTTAAAAGATGCTACTTCCATGCTATGGAATACTGTACAGTCTTTTACTTTTTATTTTATTTTGGGGGGCAGCACTGGAGGTTTGAACTCAGGGCCTCATACTTGCTAGGCAGATGCTCTTACTGCTTGAGTCACTCTGCCTGTCCTTTTTTCTGATGGGCTTTTCTTGAGATAGGGTCCCACCCCACTATTTGCCTCCTGAGTGGCTAGGATTATAGGCATGAGCCACTGGCCCCTGGCTGTAGAGTCTTTTAAGGGGTTAGATAGGTCCCTAGACATTCACTACAAAAGATATCCATGACTGGCAGTAAAGAAAAAAATATCACTTGTAGAATAATATTTACTATGTGTAATCTAACTTTTGTAATAAAATATGTGTATAAACACACACAAGTATGCTATTTATATTTGTGTACATACTAATGCTTGTCTACATGTGTATATGTGTAAACGGAAAGAAGGGACGACCTGATCTTTTACCTGACAATCCACTTTATTCTTTATTATAATGAATACTCATTCCTTTTGTCCTTTTTAGGGTAAAGAAAAAAAAGTAATCAGTGGAAGGAAATGATTCTCATGTGAGAGCAGAGAGGAAAGAAGGGGACCAAAGATCATGCACCTAAGAATGCTCTAAGGACAAATATAATTTAAGTCAGAGAGGTGAGAAAGAAACTGGCATCCGACAGTTTACACCCATCAAGAGACTGTTGGTGTTGAAGACTTCAAAGAAAAGAATGATGTCCTGCAGGTGGCCACTGGTCTGGACAATGGGGCTTTGACTAAGCAGTTTCTGGAGAGCAGGGGCAGACTGGACTTGCTGAAGCATGAGATGACAATGAGGACATAGAGACATCAGGCATGGTGGCAATTACCAAGGCAGAAGGAACTGGAGTGCCAGCACCCCATAAAAGTTGAAAACACAGGAGGAAAGGGTGTGACTGTTTTTGTCAGATTTAAATTTCTCTTTTAAACCAATTAATACTGTAGACACTTTTAAAACTGGTTTCAAACCGAGTATGCGTTGCCCATGCATACGTCTCTCAATTATGAAGACTCATCGCTGGGGGCTTTTACAACTAATTTTTGATTCCCAACTTTGCCATTTTTTTTTTTTTTTCAGACAAAAACAGGAACCAGAACAGCAGTAGCTGTCTGGTGTGACGCACATTGCTGGCCCCGACAGCTGTATAGATGTTGTCTTGATTCTCATAAAATTCAGTCTTCTAACATTGGATCAAACAGCTTTGATAAGTTCAAAGTGGCACTAAGTGTTAGAATAAACCACAACTAAATCCGTTGGCAGTAATAGAACTCCACCCAAAGGTGGTTTCTAACACACTACAATTAATTGTGTCATGCACCTTTTCAGTACAAGAGTTACAATACTTTTTCTGCAAATTCTTGGTACATCTGTGAAAGAAAAACATGCCATTTAAACATTTAAAAAATATATATGGTTATTCTTTTGGGGAGACTTCAAGATAAATTTTAGTCTTTGCACAGTTTCCTTCCTCATCATCCATCAGAAGCTATTTATGTAAGCACATGGCTAAGAAATGCATGCTTAATGACATTAGCCTGAAAGAGAGAAAATCTATAGAATGAACCGTCTAGAAGAGGTGGTAGAGCAGGAGAGCATGACATCCATCCAATCTATACATGGTTTCAGATTATCTGTAAAACTAAATTTAGACTGTCATTGCAGACTACAGATAAAATGCTGGTAGAAGATTGACTATGTTTAGCACAAAGTTATTCTAGCAAAGTTCCACCACAAAATAAATCAAACTTACTTTGTGTCATGAATAATAAGATTTTAGAGAGGAAGTACAAGCTGTCACCATAGGTCTTTTTGGTATTTTTGAACTATAAGAAAATGTCTCCTGAAGGTAAACACTGTCTGAATTTCCTGAGGGCCATCTTATCCTTTATGATAGCCTGGAGGTTTTATTTATTTTTTAATTTTTTATTTTTGCAGTACTGGGGTTTGAACTCAGGGCCTACACCTTGAGCCACTCCACCAGCCCTTTTCTGTGATGGGTGTTTTGGAGATAGGGTCTTGCAAACTATTTGCTCAGCCTGGCTTCGAACCTCGATCCTCCTGATCTCTACCCCTGAGTAGCTAGGATTATAGGCGTGAATCACCAGCACCCTATCCTGGAGTTTTGAGAGTGTAATAAGATGAAGAAACAAGGGTGCCAAAGACAGGGTAAAGGCAGAGACAGAGCGCCTTGGATGAAACAGTTCTCATTGCTGGACTTGGTGACTTGGTGAGCATGAGGTAATTCTTTTCTGTCATTGCACCTGTGCAGGTTTCCATTAACACGTTTATCTTTACCATTGTAGATTTGTCACCAATGGAACGCTCTCCTTCCCAGATGCTGAGCAAACTGAAGAGCACGGGAAACATGTCTGTCCTAAAATCTTTTATTCCAGAGGTGAACATAGTGATTGTTAATCAGGAAATGCCAGAAGGAATACATGAATGAGAGAATTCCTGCGTGCACGTGTTCTGTGTGCTTGAGGCTGTGAGAAGTAGTTTTACAACACAGGGATGTCTCCAGATAAAATGGCAGGATTGTACTCTTTCTGGACTCTTTCCCATAAACCAACTCTTCCCTTCCCTTCTTTTTTTTTCCCCCCTTTCTTTTCCTTGAAATTGGGCTAATATTCACTCTGGCACTGCCTAACATATCTTTCCCTACCTCCAGGCCTGATCCTCAAAGCAAAGGGGACCACAAGGGCCAACATTGCCACATGTCATCTTGGAGAACAGCAGGCGAAGACAGAATAAACTCTGTAAAGAGGAATGCCGAGGCTCACAACTGAACCCATCAAATCCACTGCAAGGTCTTTGAGGCCCATTCTGGTTTCAAATGGGAGCAGACAGCATTTGTGTCCCTGGGAAATGCAGCATGAAACACACATTGCGGAGAGCCAGAAAGAAGAGCGTCCAGAACTTGGGCCATGGGAGGGTTGCATCCCAGAGTCTCTGCTTTGGAGGCAACTTGGGTAAAAGGCACATCAGGAGCACTTCAGCACTCTCTCAGCTTGGTGTCTGGAGTTCCTACTGACTTATCTTCATCTATGTGCTCTATTCAATGCTACCTGCTTCATACATTCTTTTTCCTGCTTGTTGTTGTTTGTTTGGTCAGACTCTTTTCAGACAGGGTCTCACTAGGTAGCCCAGGCTAACCTCAAACTCACCATCCTCCTGCTTCAGCCTCCAGAGTGCTGGGATTACAGGAATGCATCACCACACCTAGTTTGCTTCATTTTTGTTAAACAACAACAGACACATAGGAGATATCTCTATGACTTGACCCCAGATCGATCAGTAACAAGAAAATGAGACATTGGCCCCAGTAAAACCAGGATTGATTTTGTTGTTCTGTTGGGGGGAATGTAAAGGAGGCCTTCATTATAAGGAGATATGGCAGGCAAAGGAATACCAGTGAATAGATGGAAAGTAAGGGGTGGATGGGCCCACTGGGTGGTGGTGGGGGCAGATGGATCATGAAAGTAAGTCAAGCTTGCAGAGATGTTCCTGTATGCACTAAATTCAAGGCATGATCCAAGGAAGAGACAACCACTCAGAAAGGTCCACAAAATAGGGAGACAGCCAATCAAAGGAGGCCTGACTGGAGGTATAAAATTATTCAGAACCCTGTCTGGGCCTTCTATGCTCCTTTGCCTAGCCACCCACCGGTTTCTCCCCCTTTTAACGGAGTCCTAATAAATATTTTCTTTTTCCTAAAAGAAACCAAAGCCTGTTTCATTGCTTATGGTGTAGCAGGTACTTAGGAAGTCCCAGTTGAAAAGGAAAAGGAGACACGGGTGGAAGCAACCTATGTGTAAGCACATGGGTACTCAGTGGAAATGTCTGACTCTACTTGGGCTGGTGGTGGTTGAGATGGGAATTCAAGAAAACAAGACTGAACAATGTAGAAGTAGTTCAGCTTAGCAAGCAAACAAGGAGGATGGTGACCAAAGCAGGTAGAAAGTCAGCCAATTAAAAAACAACACAATATCTGAATTACAGGAAAAAGCAGAATGCATTCAGAATTCAGATTGTTGAGGTAAGAGGACAAGAAGTGGTGGGATGTATAGCTAGAATTGCAGCCAACGGCCTAAACTTGGTAGTCTCTCTCTGGGACCAACTAAAGGTAAGCAAAACCAGAAAATAAGTTTGGTAGTGAGAAATATAGATGTCAAGAGTTTGAATCAAGACTTTGGGAAAGAGGAATGGAGAGAAAGGCACAGACTTATAAATAAAAATGGAGGAAGACCTTGGAAATGAAAAGGAGAGAGTCTGGGATGTGAGTATATGCATAGGGTGAAATGTAGAGTAGTCATGGAGTCCTGAGTTTCTCGTGCATTTATCAATGGAGAGTGGTGCATTTATCAAGATACTGGGAAAATAGAAAAGGTAGCAAGCGTTGAAAAGCTGAGCTCAGGGTTGGAAATGCTGAGCTCGATGTTGGCTTGGGTGTGCTGTAGGCTTGGTCTCCAGTGGTGCAGTGGGGAGGTGGTGGAACCTTCAAGAGAGAGAAAGGCAAGTGCATCATGGGAACTCTACCCTCAAGATTGGATTAAGGCCGGCTTGTGGGAGTGGGTCAGGTCTTGTGGGACTGGATTAGTTCCTGACAGAATGGCCTGTCATAGGTGAACTGGCACCTCCTCCGGGTTCTTCCTCATAGTCAGCCATTTCCCTTTCCACTTGTCCGCCATGTTGCCACGCAGCCAGGGGGGCCTTCTCCAGGTGCCAGCACCATGCATTTGAACTCTCCAGTCACTAGAATCAAGAGCCAAATAAAACCCTTACTGGCTAGTTTTTTGCTGTTTTTTGATTGCACTGGTACTTGAACTCAGGCCTTCAGGCTTGCTAGGCCAGCACTCTTACTGCTTGAGCCACTCCATCAGCCCCAAATACAACTCTTTATAGTTAGCCAGTCCTGGATATTTGTGATAGCTACACCAAATTAACTAAGACAAGCTCAAACTCAGTATGTGCATAGTTAAACTCACGGGTATGAAGAGGCCCATGGGCAGGTGACAATATGGTTGGGTGTTGGTCTGAATGAAATGTCTTCTCTCTCTCTCTCTCCTCTCTCTCTCTCTGCAATCAGATTTAACACAAGTTTTATTATTGTAAGACAACTTTACATAGCATAGTTAAGCAGCAAGGAAATGACAAACTAGGTTAGTAGTTTTCAGTTATGGCTAGACATAAGAATCACCTTAAATAAGTCACCTCATACTAATTCATGTAAAGTACAGAAGAAGTTCTAAGGGTGGGGCCCCCAGGTCTGTGTTTCTTAGGGAAAAAAAATGCTATCTTTATTTCTGTCACCAGAATATGTATAATTCTCCTAGAAATTATAAGAACTATATTTTATCAACTTTTTTCTTTTCTTTTTTTATTTATTTTTTATCATTGTGCTGAGTGGGGGTACATTATGGCATTTACAAAATTTCTTACAATATATCAAATATATCATACTTGAATCCCCCGCCCGACTATTCCTGGAACAATTTGAACAGGTCTCTGAAATGCCCTTGGTTCTCACTGGCTGCAGAGTGTCCTCTTGCCTTTCAGGTCTGCTGAGGCCATTTCACACACAACTTATTCATAAGTGTTCATCAGTTCTTCACTGTTCAATGACAAAGCACACTCTTATTGCTACTTAATGTCAAAGTCAAAATAAGAGTGTTGGTGCACAGAAAGAGTAAAGTCCTTCTGATGTTCTGAGCTCTGTGCTTGGGGAAAATCTATGCCATTGACAAAATTCAAAAGTAAGAAAAGATGACAACTTGTATTTCTGTACTTCGCTAGGCAAACAGCATTCTTGCTCCTGGCTTCCCAACATCTCCCTACCCTATGTCCTTTGGGGGAGTTAATTGTGTGTATCTTCGTGTGACAATTGAGACTTGGGAAGCCCAGGACATAAGTTGGTTAATAGATGCTTTCTTGTGGGACTTTGTATTTGATGACTAATATAAGGACAAGGGGGTCAGTGGTAATGGGGGGCTGGCACCCTCATTGGGCCATCCAGAGATGAGCCTTCTTGCTTTTTGGCTCTAGTGACCTTTTGACTGGTGCCTGATTCCAACCTTCCCTCTCCCTCAGACTCCTGTAGGTTCTATGAGCTTGATACACTTGCACTAAATTTCCTGTACTTCAATTAGGCAACTGGTTTCTGCCTGTTTTGATAAGAAACCTGGCAGAACATCCATTGGATGGAGGTGAAAAGACTTCAACCATGACTTCTTTCAAAAAGAACCGTATTAGCTTATCTTTAACCCGCAGCGAGACGCATCCCTTTCCATCTGTCTGGTTTGAACTCCTCACAGCGAGTGATGTACAGGTAAGATGCTTCTAGTGAAACCGATGAAGTTGATTGAGAAGTAGTTTCAGTAATTTCTTAACTTTGTTATTTCCTCCTCTTTCTCATCCTCCTCCTTCTTCGTTTGGCTTGAGGGTTTAAGAGAGGGTCTTGCTATGTAGCCCTGGCAGTGGCAGGCATTGAACTTGCAATCATCCTGCTTTGGCCTCCCAAGTGCTGGGATTACAGATGCATGCTACCACACCCACCTTAAATTTGTTTTAAATTATGAAGACTTGTTTTTATGTACATGAGTGTTTTAATAAGAAAAGGATATTACTTACATAAATTCAGCAAACCTTTATTGAGTGGTTATCATGTGCAAGACAGTGTGCTGGATGTTGAGGAGGTGTTCGCTTCATCATGTTTTGCTTGGAAATATTTATCACATTGATGCTAATACACTAAGTTTCTGCCTTCATGAAGCTTCCATTTTAGTGTGGAAGAGACAGGGAAGAAGATAAAAGTAGTAACAGTAAGCTGTATTATAGGATACAGACTGGGAGCCGAAATAAACCAACAGTGAGACCCCACAGGTAGGAGAGACCTGCCCAAAGATAGGCAGAATCTGCTGAGGCTCTTGTATGTGGCTATATGAAGAAAGGGGAAAGCTCTTCCTAATTTCACCAGTTCCAAGCAGTGAGACTTTGGGCAGCTGGATTGACCTCTCTGAGCCTTTGTTTCCTGAACTGTGAACTGTGGAGAGCAATGTTACCTAACTCTACAACTGCTGCATGGCCTGCAGGTGTTAGTGTTTGCAGGGAACTGGGAACAGTGCATGGCACACAGTAGGAGCAGAATAAATATGAGCTGTCATTGTAATGTCACTCTCATTATCCCCTGAGAGGAACCAGCATGTGTGAGAGCCTGAGGCAGGAAAGCTCTTTAGCATATTAATTAAACTGAAATAGGATTAGTGTGCCAACAGTAGAGTGGGCAGAGATAAACTGTACAAGATGAGGACTGGAAACACAGGGTTGGATCACGCAGGCCCGGAGTTCACAATAAAGAGGGTTTAAAATTTTTTTTTTCCCTAAGTGCAATGGAAAACTATTGAAGAGTTTAAGCAGGAGATCAATGCCCTCGGGTTTGTGTTTCAGTGGTCACTTCATCTGCTATGGGGCAAACGGACTGTAGGGAGCAAGAGAGGAAGTGGAGGGAGCAGCTAAGAGGATGTGTACAGTTTGCAAGGCAAGACACCATGGTGGCTTGGACCAAGATTCACATATTGGAGAAGAGAAGAGACTGGTTCAAGATGTTTTCTAGAGATATGTTCAGCCGAATTTGGGAATTGAGTTTGGGGAAAGGAGGGGAAGAGGGAAGATGAAATCAGGGCTTCCATATGCATTTGTGTAAGATGTTCATTGCATAGGAGTGTCAAACTGACAAGGGCAAATCAGAGCTGAAATCCAGCTCATGCCTGGCTCGCCAAATCATGCCTGCTGGCATGGTTCCATCCTCATGCAGATGAGGGGTAGTTTGTACAAAGGCAGGGCATACTCTAGAAGCAGACCCACCCTTATTTCTAGCTTGGGCAACTAGGTAAGAGGTATTGCTAGTGACAGAAATGGGGACACTAGGATGGAAGGGAGATAGATTTGTGAGAAGAAAAGTATCTTCCTTAAATTTTTTATAACATTCAACGGTAAAGTTATCAGGGCCTGGAAGTTGTTTTGTTTAAAAGATTTTGAATATGGCTTCATTTTCTTTTCTTTCTTTTTAAAGACAGGAGTCTCACTGTGTAGCCAAGGCTGGCCTCAAAGTCACAGTCCTTCTGCCTCAGTCTCCCAAGTGCTGGAATTACAGCCATGAGTCAGCGTGTTGGCTCCTTTTTAGATTTTGTTTTGGTCAGTGCTAGGGATAAAACCCAGAGCTCTGTACATGTTAGGCACAGATTCATTTTCGGTAATATGTATAAAATTATCATTTTTTCCTCTTTCTTTACCTTTATTAAATTTAGGAATTTGCTCCACCTAAATTTTCCAATTTATTGACAAATTTGTTTATAATAATATAATATTCTCTTATGATCTCTTTTTTAAGTCCAGATTCATTTTTGTCTTTTTTTTTTTTTTTGGTCAGTCTAGCCAGAGGATCTTTAGTTTATCAGTTATTCCAAAGAACCGAGGACTGACTTTTAATGGTGTGTGGCTTCTTTTTGAAGTGATGAAAATGTTTAAAAATTAAATAGTGGTGATGTTAATACAACTCTGTGAATATATGAAAAACCACTAAATTGTTACAGCTAAAAGATGAATCATATATATGTGAATTATTTCAATAAAGCTATTATATGATATCTAACATGTAACCTACATGTAAATGACATGAGATGTACAATCTGTATAGGTGACAGTGAAGTGTACAACAATTGTCTAGGGCAGAGGGAGTGGCTTAAGTGGTAGGCACCTGCCTAGCATGCACGAGGCCCTGGGTTTAATCCCCAGTACCACACACCAAAAAACTGTGTACATCAAGTCCCTCAGGAAATACTTCTTGCCGTGGGTTTTGCACATTGTAGTGCCCTTTACATTCTATAGAGCTGTGATGTGGATTGCCCCTCAAAGGTTCATGTGTTGGAAATTGAATTCCCTAACTCATGCTAGTGGTATTTGGTGATGGGTGATGGGGTCCATTGGAGGCAATTTTGATTAGATGAGTTCATGAGGATGAGGCCCCATGATGGCATCAGAAGAGAGACACCTGAGCTAGCACACCTGCTCTGTCTCACCGTGTGATGCCCTTCACCATGTTCTAATGCAGCAAGAAGATGCTCACACAGCTGTCTTGGAGTTCTCAGCCTCCAGAAGCATGAGGTAAATAAACTTCTATTCTCTGCAAACTACCTGAGATCAGGCACTTTGTTATATCAACAGAAAATAGACCAAGACATCTAATTTCGACAAATTAACTGTATTATTAATAGTATTGCAGGTAAAGTTGGAATCACTTTTTAAAGAACTTACACTTTAACTGATGACTATTCATAGTCTCCACAGAATATTGGTTCATTTTCTGTCCACAGAAACCAAACCAATCTAAGGAAAGTAGGTCACTGAACACATCCCAGTTCCAACTTGGCACCACTGACCCAACGTTTCTCTCTCCACATAATCACGATGTTCTAATCAGTCTGTGAGGCTGACCTTTCAGGCAGTGGGTAGTCTATTATTACTTAGTAGCTGCTGAATCCAGAGTCAACATTTTGGAAGCAAACCAATGTCCATCTTCTTTCAAAATCTTCTGGCTTACCAGAAGTTGAGCCCAGCTCAAAGCTCTTGCTTTTTCACTAACTTCCTGCATATGAACAAAGGCACAAACAGTAAACAATTAGCAGAGAATGGGAAAAACAGATGATACATTTATTTTCTAACATGCTAAGCATATTGAAATGCATTAAGCTTATTAAAACATATTTTCAAAGGTAGGAAGAGTGTGAGTTGAAGCTGGCCTGTGAAACTTAGGCAACAGAGCAAGATTCTGTCTCAAAAAAAAGTTGCTGTGAAGCATGTAATAGTCTTGAGATAGGACAGATGAGATTTTCCTATTTCTCAAAACACACTATTCTTTCTTTTTGTCCTATAGATACTAAACAAAGAAATTGAACTGAAGTTTAAAAATGTTAAATTAAAAATTCAAGTGTAGGATATCTTATTTACAGGCTATGAACAGGATGCATTCTTCACTTCTTAGAGATAAATAAGGCATAAATTTAAAAGTTAAAAAAGTAATTGACTGTGTTTTAACTTAGCACCTTTTGCAAGGGTGTGTGTCTTTTTTTTTTTTTTTTTGGTAATAATAATTAAGTATAGAGCAGGGGGCATGGCTCAAGGAGTAGAATACCTACCTGGCAAGCATGAGGTCCTGAATTCAAGCCTCCATCCCACCAAAAAAAGAGGAATATTTATGTGCAGCTTCCTTTCTGCAAGTAGTTACTCATTTATAGTAGCAATATATAGAGTGTGAAATCTATTATTTAATAAATTATCTGTTCTATAGAATTTTTATCACCTTTTGATCACATCTAAAGTTTCTTTCGTAATCAAAAAAATTCTAGAAACATACGAAGCCAAGACACATTAGAAGCACATGTAAGAATCTTTCAGGATTCCAAATCTTGAAAATGTATTTCACCCTAAACTAATGCAATTGCACTTGTTCAGAGGAACAGGTGCTTCTACAAAATGATTCATTTAATATTATAATAAGTTGCCTCTTTGGAAAAGTAGATACCCAACTCTAAAACAGTCTTCAAGGACTGCAGGGGCGTTGGGGATTGAACACCCTCTGTTCAGGAGAAACAAGAATTAGGTGCAGAAGGCTTACTGTGTATGTGCAGGTGCAGAAGTGGAACCAAAATGAAAAATACAATTTTAAATTCTGTCTTCTATGTGATTTAAATAATCTTTGCTGTGAGAGGTTAAATGAGAGAGCAAAAAATGGTTTATCAAATATTCATCCTTGAACTTTGAGGCACCAGTACCTGCATGCAGACAATGACCCAGCAAAAACCTTAAAATCACACCCAAGAAAAAGTCCTATGCCTCTTAACAAAGGACTTATCTACCTATCATATATAGAATTCCTACAAGTTATTAATTTATAGGAAGCACAAACAAATCAATAGAATAATGAGTTTGGTGTATGAATGGGTTATTTGACAAAGTACAAACACATATTAAACATTGCTAATGCCGAATTCCACCAACTAAAACTACAAATTAACATACATATATTTTGAATCAGATTTGAGAAATTAAAAATGTTGGTAAGACAGCTGGTGGATAGGTGCCAGCTGTGGGGTAATGAACTATCACAGTGGTGTGGAATTATAAACGTGTTTAAATTCTGTTAAAAACTGGAAGTACACATTTCTAAAGCCTGGCAATTGCACTCGTAAGAATCCATCCTACAAACATAGGTACCTGAGACTGTGAAGTAAAATAGAGGACACTCATTATAATGTTATTAGTAATAGCAAAAAAAAAAAGCCATATTTAAATATCTGCTGATAAGTGAATGAAGTCATAGCTGTAAATTCTAACACTATTTGGAGTGTTAACATGGACAGGCTTTTCAAGGTCATATCAATAGTCTTCATTTGAGAAGTGCAAATGAATAGTCACTGTATAGCTATACAGTGAATGAATAGTCACTGTATAACCACAGAAGTTTTCACAAGCTTCTGAATTCTCACAAAAAAATGAAAGTGATAGAAAAAGACCAAATCTACACTTATCAGTCAAGAAATGTATATGGAGCAGGCAGCAGTTGATCAGGAGGATCAAGGTTCAAAGCCAGACCGAGCAAAAATTTCGCAAGACAAGGTCTCAAAAAAAAAAAAACTTCACAAAAAAAAGAAAAAAAAAAGTAAGGCTGGTGGAGTGGTTCAAGGTGAAAGCCCTAAGTTCAAACCCCAGTACACAAAAAAGAAAGAAAGAGAGAAAGATGTACATGGTATTTTAAGAGAAAAATACAACAGATGACATTGTGCATGGCCTATGGGAGCCTGTGTATGCTCACCCATGGAGATGTAGCCATGTTCGTACAACACACAAAAGCACTTGTCCTGCAGCAGGCCTCTGCAGGATAGGATGATAAGGATGCTTGCAGGAAGAAAGGAGTGGCGCTGAAGCGATTTTACAACTTCGCAAAATGTGTTTTTATTTATGTATTTATTTTTAAATGTATTTGTTTATTTATTTTGGCAGTACTGGGATTTGAACGCAGGGCTTCATGCTTACTAGGCTTGAGTTCCATCACTTAAGCCACTCTGCCAACCCTAAAAATGTATATATATATATATATATATATATATATATATGTATAAATAAATATATTTCCCCTTGCGTGGTTTTTTTTCTTTGCCCTTTTTTGTTTGTGTGTTGTTTGCTTTTGAGATGGTCTCACTATGTAGTTCAGGCTGGTCTTGAACTCGAAACCCTCTTGCCTCTGCCTCCTGAGTTCTAGGATTATAGGCTTGTGCCATGACAGCTGGCTGGGTGTGTTTTTCAATGGACCAAAAAACAAAACGAAAGCTTGCCCCTGACACTTGAGCAAGCAAAACAAATTTAAAGACATGAGACCAAAATT